CAGCATCGCAAAATCGGTAAACTAGTGATTGCATTCTGATATAAATCCTCATCCATAGTGTGCTGTACTCACGATTTTTTCTCATTTCATCAAGAAACGACTTGTCTACATAATTGTCCGGAACACCTTGGTCTTCATAGAGCACTTTTCTCCATGGCTTTCTCCTTTTCATCTGAACTGGAAGGAAGTCGTTATCCTTTCCAAAATAATCAACCATGGTTTGCAGGAACAATGCACACTGCATATTTCATGCGTCGTCTCAAAGAGATGAAACAAATTAGACTAATTGTGGGGTTACTTTACCTATTTATCCGCCATGTTGGATTCAACATATATCCTGTTACACTATATGAACGATACTTGACCAAAAGATTTTCAGTTAGTTTGGGTATTGGCATTGCAGGCTCATTTAATCTATCATTGTACTTACCCATCGTGCACTCATCGTACTTACTTCGTTCGTACCCGTTGTAAAGTCGAATTTCGTTGTCTTTCGTCGTTTAACTTGCAAAGTCTGAGTTAAACAAAGGATGGAGCTCGAAGTATTTTAGTATCGTGAATAATCTTCTTCTGTGATTTACATTTCAAAATCCGATGTAGGAGATATTCGGTTTCGGAAAGAAGTAATTCCTTAATTGCTAAAAAACTCTTTCCCTGCTTCCGCTTGGGCCTTCTAAAATGGAAGACAAGCACAGAGAAATCCTTCGAAAGTATCGAGATGCGTTTTTGAAGGACCTAGAACCTTTAAAGGTGATAAACAGACTTGATTTCCTTGATGATGATGATCGGGATCAAGTGAAAGCGCAGAAAACGCGATCAAAACAGGCTGAAGAATTACTTGACATGCTTCCCAGGAAGGGACCAGATGCTTTTCATGGATTCATCACAGCTCTGTACAGTGGTAGCCAAAAATTCCTCGCGAGGCCTCTCATTAAGGCTTCAGGGATGGAAGAGTCACATTTTTCAAAAGGTGAGGATGTCTATGTTTGTTCGCCGATGAAGGGACGGTTTGCAAGTGAGAGGTATGGACTACCAACATTGTCCTCTTTTCTCCCTTTCCCTTATATCCCTAACTCCCAAAATTGATTGACATGTTAATTCTCCTTGCGGTGTCAAAACATTTCCCACTAACAGGTGATGAGAATAGACAGGATTATCAGCCAGTGCTTGTTACCTTGATATAACATCAAATTCTTCTACACAATTCATGAGGAAGTGTCTGGCAGTTAGAAAGGAGAATTAATTTAGTAATGGAGGGGGACATGGGGGATTCTGAATACCACAACACCACAAACAAAATAGAAGAAACACTGCATCACTGCCAGTAATATTATCAACACACTGATATTGCTATTATACAGTCTAAGTCTCAGGATTTACCTGGTCTGGTTTAACTTATCTTTACTATGCACTGGTCTTTGGCTGGCCAATAGTGCATGTGGTAGAGGTCAGTTTGAAATTACAAACGTCGAACACTGTAAGATTTGAGATCACCACAACATCACAATGCCAGTTGTTCTTCACCGCAATACTGCATTAAAAAATTGTGTTTCAATTACATGAGGTGACTAGGAGTGATGCTACCCGTTCTGTATAGAATGCTACTGCTACCGCTTACCTCTAAGCTTTGACTCAGGTTTCTCTGAAAGATCCCCAAGTCTCCATTTACACTCCTAGATAGTAAAGAGTGTCTTGTATCTCCCATTCAGTTGGTGAACCGTTATCTCTCTGCTTGAATTTTAGCGTTGCAACCATGAAACAACCCCATCCTCTAAGAGGTCATGTGTATATGAGCCTTTTGTCCACTTGTTACAGTCGGTAACTGATGCATATGCATTTTCTTTTAACATCCTTCACTTCTAGTAACTGAGAAAGGTCTATATCAGTAATTGTATTCACATATTTTTGAGAGAAAAATAGGATAAGGTTCTTACATGAAAAGTACTGTTACAATATCTCTTTACTCTCAGTAATTTTTGGAGTAGTTATCTTGGCACAAATTTTTTTTACAGTGGTTTTTATCTTTGTACAGATGATGAAGTTGGTATGACAACAGAACACAAAAAAGTCCTTCGTACAAGTTGCAACCAATTGTCTTCCATCTCTATTGAAAAACTGGTGCCACTTCTACCCAAACTACTTGATGAGCGTGACAAACAAGAACTTCAAAATACTAGAAAGCCAAGCTATGACAGAGTACAGATGCTGCTGACTGAAATACTCCCTAAAAAGGGTCCTGAAGCATTTCAATGTTTTGTGGAAGCTTTAAAGAGAATTGATCCACCAAAGGCTGAACAACTGCTGATAAAATCCGAAATGAAAGGTTCTGTTAGTAAATTGCTAAGAATAAACAGCATCTTTCAATAATATAACCTGCAAAGGTTTAGATGCTTTATGTTATGTAATACTTTAATTTTATGCTTCAGTCAGTCATGTCAAGGACAGGACTGAATGTAGCATAGACAGATTGATGGTATTGACTGATTGTAGCATAGACTGTTTGATGGTATTGACTGATTGTAGCAGAGATTCATCGACTGATTGCAGCATTGACTGAAAAAAAAGTGGTAAAGTTAGGTCNACTACACTCTCCCGGACGATCAGACAACACCTTCACATGTTACCCCCGTGTTCAAGCCATTTTCCGCATAACATACATGTTTATTCAAACTCATATATAACTACATAAATTTGAAAGGGAGAGTCTAGAGGTTAACCCTATGAATAAAACTCTCCTAAAAACCACAACAAACAAAAACAACAACAACAACAACAAAAAACAAATTTATAGCTTCAAAAAGGATTTAAGTTTACATTTAAAAATTTCTAGGCTACGGGCTTCATAGACTCGTTGCAGCCTAGGCTCATTGCATTAACATGTACTCATTTATTACATCGACTGGTTACAGCACATACTGATTGATTGCATTGACTGATTGTAGTACAGACTCATTGATCGCATTGACTGATTACAGCACAGACTGATTGCATTGACTGATTACAGCATAGACTAATCGATGGCATTGAATTATCACAGTACAGATGATTGATTTCATTGACTGATTACAGCATAGACTGATTGATGGCATTGACTGATTGTGGCATAGGCTTGTTGATCACATCAACTAATTCCAGCAAAGACATTAGTACAGACAATACATGTAGTTCAAAAATTTTAACAACATTCAAACTGAAGTTTTAGATACCTTATGACATGTAATGCTGGGAAGGATGTTAATTCCTTTGGTTCAAAAGGTCACAAAAATAATTAATGTTATTGATGAGGTGCAATTCACTTCCTTTGCTACTATAAGTAGATGTCAAAGAAGGCAATAATAGAACATAGAGCAATAAGACCTTGAGATTAAAATAATAGCCCTAAATTCAGGATTCACTTGTGTTTGAGTGTTTGCATCAATTTTGTAATCCCTTTTTCCATACATTATAAATTGTACATAAAAGAATATATATGTCTTGTATATAATAATACTAAGAGATTGGCTTGTTGCTACCTGTAGTAATCACTTGAACATTCAGTCCCTGAATTGAATGTTCACTTTTTTTTTTTTTTACATACATTAGGATCTTCCAATGGTGAAGAATCACTCACATCTACTGTTCCTGTACAAGAAACCTCTTCTAATTACACACTGGCTTCCCCAGTCCAAGATGTTCTTGATGATCAACACAAGCTGTTAGAAGAATTTTGTACAAGAATGGATAAAGAAGTATTAGGAAATGGTTGGAAAAGGTCGGTTTATGTTATCACACTAACTTTTTCTGTAATGCTATTATTGGTTGAAAAATTTTGAATTGTTGATGATTGGATGAAGCTTAAAAGAAACTGCTAGTACATAGAGCCTAAAATTTAAGTCAAAAGACAAACATTGTTTAAATGCCCTCAGAATACATTTATACTTTTGGTCTATGCATGCCTTTTCCCTTTGTACAAGGCCAGTTTGATGATAGCACAAGAGGTAATAGCCTCAGATGTATGTTAAGAATGGAGCTTTGATAAAAGTGTTGGAATTTTTCACAACTGATTCTAACTGTAATTTAGGGCGAATAGACACCACAGTGGCCAGATATTGCAATTAATGTTTTCAGAAACAGTTAATAAGAATAATCTTGCTTGCAACGTAATTTGGTTTTATCAACTGAGTTGATAATGTAAATCGTCCACAGTAAAGGTTTCAAGGGTGACATTTTTAAATGTTAGCCCTTTGTCAGAGAGAAAGACAAAGGGCTAATGCTCATTAAACATCAGCTTTTAAACCTTCTATAGTGGCCAATTTACATTTATTTGTCAACTCGGTTGATAAAACCTGATTCCCTAGTTACCCCCACTGACATAATACCACAGTTTTGTAAGAAACTTACTCCCTTTTGTGGAAATGCTTAGAGTTTTGGTGAGAGAACTAGAATCTTGGAGAAAATTGGTAAATCAAAGACTTGTTTGTTTATAATTCCAATGAATTAACCCTGCTGATTTAAAACTGTAGAATGCCCACCTCTAAAAAGCACAGAACCTTGCTTGCCATTATATAGTAGATAAGTTAGGTTTACATATTTGACATTAAATTTGTAAGTCCTTAAGGAACCTTTTTCACCCAATCCAGCTCCTAATGCAAGTAGTCTCCAATACTTCTTCTTCGTGGCCTCATATACTTTTGTTTTAGACTTTGCAAAGAACTTGGCTTGCCAGATGAGGCAGAATCTTTTGTGGAAAAGGAATGTGGAAGCCCTACATTCTCTGTTATAAAGGGTTGGATTTCTCATAATGGAAGAAGTGCTACAATACAGACTCTACTTGATGCTATCAACCGTTCTCAGCGCAAAGATTGTGTAGCTTACCTTCTGAAACCTCTTAATCTCAATGGCGACGTGGTTGATAGTCCTGTCACAGATTTAACAAAGAAATTTGATCGTTTAAGTGAGTGAAATATAACATTAATACGTCTCGTAAATCTCAATCTACATGACTTTTAAGGTACATGTCTATCAAACTACTAAATTTAAGTCTTCTACATCTACCAACCTGATTGTCTGCCCTAGTAAGCCTGATATATGAATCATCCCCACTGTTTCTTCCTTTTTGCTCATGTACTCATGTTCCCGCTCTTTTTTTCTCTCATCCCTGCCCATCACTATTTTTTTTCATACTAATCCAGAAAGGTGGCTGGTTGCTTGATGTCAATCACTATTAATCAAAGGATATTAATAAGCATATTAGAGGTGCTATTAGCGATACAGTCAAACCTGGGTTGCTTACTTTGCTTGTCCTATTTTTTTATGCATATGAATTAGTTGCATTTACAATCCATAAGAACTTTTTTCCATCAAAGAAAGCGAGTGTAATGACACTCCCATTAGAACTAAATTTGCTCCACTTTTCAAGCTATTGAATACTTAAGCAAGTGTTAAATGTGGATAGAAAGAAAAAATGATGCTGAAACTATTCAATTGATACAGTTTCAAAGAATGGTGGAATCAGCATTGCATACTGGCTTTAGCATTGTGAAACAAATTGATTTATCAAACAACAACAAACATATAAAACATATGTGTGAACTGCGGTTATGAGACGTATATGAGCACGATCCTTCGCAGTAAAGCACTATTTGAGCAATAGTGAAAATCAGACCTGAAAAAAATTTCAGGCCTGTACGGGATTCGAACCACTGACCTCTGCGATACTAGTGCAGCGCTCTACCAATTGAGCTAACAAGCCAACTGGGAGCAGGCCATCAAATTAATTCGACATAAACCCGTAGATGATAAATCAAACAACAACAAACATATGAAACATATGTGTGAACTGCGGTTATGAGACGTATATGAGCACGATCCTTCGCAGTAAAGCACTATTTGAGCAATAGTGAAAATCAGACCTGAAAAAAATTTCAGGCCTGTACGGGATTCGAACCACTGACCTCTGCGATACTAGTGCAGCGCTCTACCAATTGAGCTAACAAGCCAACTGGGAGCAGGCCATCAAATTAATTCGATATAAACCCGTAGATGATAAATCAAACAACAACAAACATATGAAACATATGTGTGAACTGCGGTTATGAGACGTATATGAGCACGATCCTTCGCAGTAAAGCACTATTTGAGCAATAGTGAAAATCAGACCTGAAAAAAATTTCAGGCCTGTACGGGATTCGAACCACTGACCTCTGCGATACTAGTGCAGCGCTCTACCAATTGAGCTAACAAGCCAACTGGGAGCAGGCCATCAAATTAATTCGACATAAACCCGTAGATGATAAATCAAACAACAACAAACATATGAAACATATGTGTGAACTGCGGTTATGAGACGTATATGAGCACGATCCTTCGCAGTAAAGCACTATTTGAGCAATAGTGAAAATCAGACCTGAAAAAAATTTCAGGCCTGTACGGGATTCGAACCACTGACCTCTGCGATACTAGTGCAGCGCTCTACCAATTGAGCTAACAAGCCAACTGGGAGCAGGCCATCAAATTAATTCGACATAAACCCGTAGATGATAAATCAAACAACAACAAACATATGAAACATATGTGTGAACTGCGGTTATGAGACGTATATGAGCACGATCCTTCGCAGTAAAGCACTATATATGAACTTCATATATTCATCATAACAGTTACAAGTGAAGATTATGATTTCTGGCTCATGTACAGATGAATATTAATTTGATATTTTTTTCATGTCCAGGTCCAAGAGAGGTTAAATGTTTTGGAGACCTAACCTTCCAAGAAGCATCTTATATCACAGATAAGCTGGGACCTTCTTCAAGGGAACTGTTGAAGAGTGAACTTGAAAAAGAGCCCAAGCTAAGTGGCAAGACATTACCAGACATGATGACACAAAGCAAAAATTACCCCATTCGTAGATACACAAACCTCATTACAGGGGGTGAAAGACCAAGTGTAGTACAGTTATTTAGAGAGGTCTTGCCCACTCAAAAAGGAGTAATAGGTGAGTTTTGTGGTAACGAAGTTGATATATAACTACTAGGATTAGAGAGGTTAAGCTATAGAGCGTGCAGTTACATAAATGTCATTTTGGTAAAGATTGGTGTCTTATAAAACCTATGTTGTACCTCTGACATTGGCTTAAATTGAATTTAAGGCGCATGGTAGGTGTTTTACATAGACATGTTTAAAGTGGTGCGAAGCAAGGCCCAGGGTGGTAAAACGTACGTACTGTGTGCTGGACAATAGATAGCTGAGAAGCATTTTCTCTCTGCTGTCAGGTAAAGCTTTGCAGTTCTTTCCTTACCAGAAACAATGTGTTGTTGTTACTTTGATAGGTCCATTGCTCTCACCTGATACATTTGTAAGAGACATACGGTACTCCTGTAGAAGAAACCTGACCAGAAACTTGTGTGGTATGTTCCATATTAATCTGCCCTTTAATTAAAATTCATAGGTGCTAGTCAAGAATGACGTTAAAATATTTGAAACTCCAACAGTGTGGCAAAGGCATGTTTGCCTTTTTCAGTTTTCGGGTGCTTCTCACCATTTAACAGTTGTGAATGGGTCGCGGCTTCATTCACATAGGTGGCGCGTTAATGAAAAGACCAACAATAAACATGAGCAACGTCAATGTTTAAACGTTATTCTGAAAACATTTTGAAATTAAGAAACAAAACGGCTTGTGTCAACGGAGATGTGTGCTTCAGAAACCATAGACGTTTTTTTCTCCACTTTTAACAATATACATGAAATATGAAACTAACTGCCTTTTTAGATTCTAACGAGTAACAAATCGTTCTTCAAATATTATAAATTTGGTTCCAATTGGCGAAGCTAATTAGATAATAAATGGTAATGATTAAATAATAAATGGTAAAAAATCGATCACAGATTCCACCACTTGAAGCAATTTACTAACTTAGCCACACACGCATCACCAAAACGCGCGGTTCAATCTTATCTGTAGCTCTGATTATCGCCAACTGAATTATCAGTTGAGTAGAGATCGCCAAGAGATGGGGAAAAAGAAGAGTAAGGCTTTTGTTACGTCAGTTATAAGCTTGTAGAATTCTAAAACCTCTTAAAAATTGTGGCATTCCTTTTCAAATTTTCGTTCATTGAGGACAATTTTCAGTCAGCTACAGCGGAATCTCAGAACGTAGTGTATGGTTGCCGATGCATACTCATTCAATTTTGACCAAAAAAATGTCAGACTTTCGAAAGTCATGGGGAGTTTGATTTTCAGCTCTGCGTAAGTGCGGAGCACTTACTGTGTACCAGCTTTCTGATCTCTGAAGAGTCGTTTATCCACGAAACCAATTTTCCTGATTTCGTTTTGTTTTGTTTTGTTTTTTAATTGTTGTCGTTCTTGTTCTTGATGATTTAATGCACCAAGGGTTGTTGCGTTGAGATAGTTTGTTGTCTAGATGGGCGAAAATCCAACTTTGTAAATTTTTCGTTGTGATTTTCAGCGGACGACAGTTGGAAGGCTTTAGCCGAGAAACTTGGTATGGACAACACCACGATCCAATACCTTGACAACAGAAGAGTAGAAAACCCAGCTGATGAAGTCTTGAGACACTGGGAGGTCAAGGCTTATAGCACAGTTGGAACATTGTATGACATTCTGGTCGATCTAGAGCGTCCACTCATTGCTGATCTTTTGTAAAGAGCAACTGTTGCTATAGGAACTGTTTTTCTAGTAAACCAAACAGGGCGGTTTTTTTTTTTTTTTTTTTCGGATTGAGTAAAGTAGAACCAAACCCACATTAGTCTCAGTGAAGTAAAAGAGAACAATCAAAACTCAAAGTGAAACTGACAGAAGCGCTGCAAAATGTGGATCAATCATTCGTGACTTTTTTTAACTTTTGCATATGATTGTTTCAGCCATGGGCGCGAGTTTGCTATACCTAAGACTTTTCCTAATTGTGGACGTCCCCACTGACACGCGAAAGTCAAATATTTCGTTTCCTTGTTCTCATTGTGCTATTTGTGCTAAAAAATTTAAACAGAGGAGTAAAAGTGCGCGATGGATCGCTGAGAAGACGTACTGTCGCCATAAGGTGACCTGTAAAATCTACTGTGCCTTTTTTTTTTTTTTTTAAACAAAGGTTAACTCGTGTCGCGGTTTTGCAGTTGTGGAGTGACTTTCTAACGCTCTTTTTTTAGTAACATCGTATGGATATTATGATTTTTAGCATTGCGTAGAGGACTTGCAGGAAGTTTAATGAAATATTTTTGTGTGTGTTTTAGTCTTAAAGTGGACAAATTGTATTGTAAGAAAACCGAGTAAAATAACATAAAAAATAAGCAAATTATTACCCAAGAAATGCCAATGTTGCGGTCTTAAGCCGGCAATGGATTAAGAAGTAGGAAGTTATTAGATTAACCAAATGATTATACATTGGTGTTAAGCTAAGAAACTTACTCGGCCATTTCAGATTTCATGCTCTCAGTGGTCACTCTAACAGACTTGAATCAGCTAAAAGAAAATTATGGAGAAAACCCCTAATCAAATTTTGGTTTATCCATTAGGAACAAATCGTGGTTTATCTTTAAGTTCAAAAGTCGTCATTGGACAATTTATCGCCTGGAGTCTTCTCTAAGAATTCCCATGTAGGAGAGGGAACGTTGTTTTCCATTTTATTTATATACAGTTTTAATGCCATTAAACCTACAGTTGTGGTGGTGGAGCGACTCGGCTGACGATAAGACATACAAATATATTTCGTGTAGGTACTAGGTTTTTCAGATTATGCATTATGCTCTCTTGGTTTGGCCATTTTGCTATAATTGCACAATCAATGTGTATTGGGGACGTTTTCGGTTTCCATTATTTTTTGGTAATTATTAAATGTGTGAAAACCCTAGAAATACTGTATCATAACCTAGAAGAATAGAGGTGGTACTTGTTAGCCAATTTAAGAACTAGGTAGCTTGAAGTTAATGTAATAGATTAATAAAAATAATGATTTATGGTTTTGAAGGTTTATAAACTGATTGTCTGTAACACCGTTATCAGCTTGAAGAAGTATGAAAGCCAGACGTAATTAAATAAAGTAGAGTACAGTAAACTTCCGAAGACATGGAGACTAAACGGCCTCTGTGTAGCCACCTGATCTTAACTTTTGGCGCAAGCTCCAGCCGGTGCGTTCTTGCGCAAAGGAATTTCTTGTTTGCTCCTTTGAAAACCTTTCTCCACTTCGGAGTAGAAATGAGTTGTTCAACTGTTGAATTAAGCGCGCTTGCGCGGGGACGCAAGCGTTGTGCGTCAATTAAGTGACTGTTACGTAATTAAACCAGTGGATTTATGAGTTCAACTTTTGAGGTAAGCTAGACCACTCTTTTGGTGAATTTTAACTTGGTTAAAAACAGAAAAGGGGCTTACTCAAATGACACTCTTATCGAAACCTTTGACAATTTGGCAAGCAAGAGAGATCCTTACCATGTGAATCTGGATAAAGACCTTTTTGAAAAAAAACGTTTTGTAGGGTAAGCGCGCATGGCAAAGGGGAAAAGTAAGGTTACTCGTGCGACTCTGCACACCAAAATCTCTTATTTGGCTTGCATAGCTGTCTTTTCCGTTCCCATCTAGCCAATTAGGAGAAACACGATGGCAAAAGGGAAAAGGAGACCGAAGGAAGGAGTGCGAAATGCGCAAGGGCACTTTGATTAATTTGCTCCCTTTCGCCCCATATTTCCGCTGAACCACTTCTTAGCTCGCATTTCTTCAGTTGGCTGTAGGGAACGAAAAAAGGACTCCTACCCAGGTTAGCTTTGTCATAAATGGTCCAAATCCAATTTTGAACCTGCCTGAAAATAGTCAGTCTTGCAGTTATAGTAGAGAACAAGATACAAGCTTTCACAGCGTCCACTGAATGGACGAAGATTAACAGTCTTATTTCGCATGAGCGACAAATGAACCTCGCGACTGAAACTTAACTTGAAGCAAGCGCAATTCTCTTAGGATGACCTTTTTCTGAAATCTGTTTTAAATAACAATGCCCAGGGAGACAGCTGGTTTATCAATTTTCAAGGAGGTCTTTTAACTTGGTAGTAAATGGAAAGATTTTATTTGGGATAGAAAAAAATAGTTTGCTAGCGAACAGAGAATTTTTCTAGCCTGTCACCGACAATCGGGCTCTCCACGATGGCTTTTTGTTGTGTTATCTTTTCTAGTGATTTTTCGCCATGGTTTGGATCGAGCGTGTGGACCACTTGTTTCCAAGGTTGAAGAATAACCTTCGACACACGATTCATTACACATCCAGTCTAAAAGCGGATTTTCAAGCAAAGCCTGCGATCAGGCGAGTCAAAAATTTCCTTGAGAATCATCCTTTTATTTGCCTGTTCCTGGTCACCTTAGTCGTTCTTGGTTTTCTGCCGTTTCTGGTGTTCCTCGCCTTTGTATTAGGCTCGTTTCTTTCCATATCATTCTGCGCTCTTTTAGTTTTCGGGGGAACATTGACAGTAGCGTCATTGTCATTGCTCGTCATTCTATCCCCCGTGATGTTGAGTGGAGGAGTGCTGGCAGTCTTCATATACCTTACATTCTGCTTTGTTATGAGAATGCAGAAAATCATCAAACGAACCGCCAGGACTTACATTCAGTTCAAGTCTCGACGATCAAGAAATCGACGCATGTGTCAAGAAACAACCCAATTCCGTGTCTTCTAAGTGAAAGCAGCGATATTCCCGGTTTCACAGGAACTATGGGAAACTCTTTTTTTTTTTTCGTTGTTGGTAAGCCTTTAAGAACAGAGGAGCTGAAGAAGATGTCCTTTTCAGTTTGGCATTAGTTACTAGCTTTAGGAAGTTTACTTTTGTATTTAAATTTGTTTTGTTATTTGTACACACGCGTCTTTCAGACAGGTTATCCTCTTCGAGACCAGTGGATAGCTGCTTCCCCTCTCACTCGAGCCGGAGTTACCCGGTCATTCGCTTTTACTGCCAGTGAAAGGCAATGAAAGCTCCAACTCTCGAGGAAAAAGCATTAAAATGAATTCCTTTTGAGTTCAAAATCTCTTTTTTTATTTTACCAGAAATTAAAATAATACCTTGCTCGCATTTGTGCCTTTCTGCTTTCCTGTTAAGAAACAATTTTAGACAAGTCTGCTAAAGGAGTTCGGAAGCGGATGAGATTTAAACTCATTACCTACCAAATCCCCTCCCCGTGTAGAGAGGGGCATGCAGTGGATCTAAATTGTATCCCTCGACTACCGGGGAAACAAAACCAACCACTGGCACAGTCGTTATTTTCGTAACTTATCGCTATTTCAAGATATAGGAAGGGGACAAATATACCCGGACGGCCCCGCTTTCTCCTTGTTTTTTTTGGCCATGTTGGAGCTGCCGAGGTCGCACAGTGTTGTGATGAATTTTTTGAAGTAAAATTATTCAGTCAGTCTGATCAGTTTAAACCCGCTTTGGCATTTATGCCGGCCACTCGTGACACTTAAGAATTGACCGCCTGCAAAGCCTTGTGGTGGGCCTCTTTTGTGCACTTTCGAGATGCGGTAAATTCGGCCGGAAGTCTATCGCTTTGAAGTGCTGTGGCAATCAAAACATGATAAACCTAACCACCAAGCATGAAATTGCTGCGACCTTAGGAATTATAGGGAAATTTTGCATGTTTTTTGTTTTAAGATCTGTTGGTGTAATTTTCACTTCGGTACGGATATAAGGCTCAATAATAAAAAAAAAAACCTGCTTATTAGACTCATGTCCTCATCAAATATCGAGGTCGAGGTACATGCCAATTTTTTTTCGTTTTTGTGGTATCCAAGAATACTGACGACAAATTGTTCTGAACTTATTTCTTGAGTATCTACAGAGACAATTATTTTTGAGCAATGAAGGGGAGAAAAAATATGCGCACTATCGCTCCTTTGTTCGAATTCTCTACCGTGGGCTTTGCCCTTACACGGGGGTAAAGTAACAATTGTGACAGGTCGATACTGTACGGTATAAACAGATCAACATCCGGAAATGATTATCTAGTCTGAATCATACTTTATTTTAAAAAGCAAAAAAGCAGCGTGCATGTCTGGTGACGTGCATCATATTACGTGTTTACTTAATCACACACGCAAGTGACGAAGATCTTTGCAACTTCAGCGAATCATCTACACTAAAGCACTCTTCAATTACTCTCACAGTTAAATTTCTCTGCCAATATAACATGGTCTGACGTAGGTTTCTTCTTATATAAAGTTCCAAGGTCCTATAGACCCTTTTCACTTTATGAATTTGTGACAATATTTGAATTATTTCAATTTTTTCTTTCAAACGTTTAATTAGAGGCTCTATTTTTAGTGAATCAACGTCGGGCAGTTGTAGGAAAAAACTATATTGAGTTTCGATCTCAAGAGCGAGATGCCATTTATTGATTTCATGAAATGGAAGTAATGACAAATTTCGATACATCGCTTAAAGCGTGTCAGAATTCCAAAAAAATTCTTACGTAATGAAACCGCGAGATAATAAAAACCCGAGACCTCGTCACATTTGTACTTTATTTCGGGTCAAACTTTCAAACTTCCGACCAATGTGGAATTTCTGAGAATTTCACGACTTCCTATCAAAGTTTCATACTTCCCAGTTAATGCTTGTAAACATTGATTTTTATGCCTTTTCTCAATTCATTCTATTGTTAGAATAATTTTAAGTTTCATTGAAATGTGCTGGTCGTAGCAGCGCCAAAGGAAGGAGAAGCATTTCCCCGGAAGTTATTATGCCAAGTACGTGATTGGCTTCCGCTGCGGTGCAGAGAGTATTGTGGGTATCTTTAGGCAGATGTCACTGTTTTGTTATTGAGAAAATGTCGTCGGCAGGTAGAAGAGGGAAATATAATCTTAGAAGCCCTGGATAACAAACAAAAATGAAGAAGAAAAAGTTTAAGTTTGACGTGAACTTCAAGTTAAACCAGCTGACGAGTGTGCCTTTCGTGAGCGGAGTTCTGTTCGCTAAAATGAGATTACTGGAAGGTGGAAATTTTACGAGCTTTTCAACGAGGTATTAGCTGCTGAGATCTGCGAGAAAGAACGCATTTGCAATGCGGCTTTTATTTTAATTTCGCCTTTGTTTTTATTATTTTGTCTTCTTTAAGGGAGGAAGTCGGGAACCATTGCGTAAAGTGGAGAAACGACGTCACTTTTCCATGCAAAATGACAGCGAATGTCTCTACGGGAGTTTTAGATGCATGTAACTACCGAGTGTCCATTCGTAAGGTATGAGTTCACAACAACACAACTTCATAATGTCGTGAAATGATCCTATGGATTAAACGCAGATGTTTAGTACTCCTACACGTTAATTATAAACTATTTCGCTTTCTTTATTGGTTGCTAGTTTTGGAACATATTCGGGTTTTGCTAGTGAAGTTTTAATTTAGTTGTTGTGCAATTTTAGTTCGCCCCGGGCTCGCAGAGTTGCGACGTTTATGGGCCACCTGCAATTTATGATATTCATTCGGGATTAAAACAGTTGATGCCTTGGCCTTCAGGGAACGTTTTAAATAGTGCATCTGATCTCTTACTAGAGCTTTTAATCATTTTTTTGTCGAGTGGAACAAGAATTCACGGCGACTATGGCAGTGTGTGCGCGCATGAAAAATATTTAGCAATAACTTTGGTCAGATCACGCCTTGATCGCCAGTAACTTTAGCTGATTGTTGCACTACAAAGAGTTGTAGTTTAATTCCTACACTTTCTCTGAAGATTACGAAGTAAAATTCGGAATCTGCAGACAATTTTCTTTTCTTCGTGTCATGGTTCGTTTGAGTTGTCAATCCTGATTTGTTGTTCTCGAACAAGCCAGTTCATCCTCAAAATGTTATGCATTCATGAATTTCTTTCGCATGCAAAGTAGTCAGTTTCGTTATATCGATTTCATGTTAGTTTAGCGGGGTTGTTTTTATTTATTCCTTGATAAACACATGCACGAACAAATTAAATCGATTGAAAGGGAAAGGATTTATGAGAAACATTTTACCCGAGCGTTGCGATAATCTGTTCCTTGTATTGTAAGTTAGTGTTTTGCCCAAGTGGGAAATCATGTGGTTTCCTAAAATGACAAGACTCCAGGTCATATTAACCACACAATAGTGTATTTATACCCCTTATCGCTTGACTTATGCAGAAAATATGGAAATTCTTACTTTCAGTGAATAATTAACGTACAAAAATCTGGATTATCAGAGATCAATCCAAATCTGTTGACAAAAATTGGTATTTAGAAGAGTGCTTTGAGATTTGTCTGACTATGGTGAAGATCTTGATATTATTTCGTTTCCGTTCACCTTATTCAATTATCTTGTACTTGTTTTCTTGCCTTAACATGTTCATGTTAGCGATTAGAAACTCAAACAAATCTGTGAAATATTTCTCCCCATCTTAGTTCATTGATAAGATTTTTTCATGGCTGTCGCCATTGTGTATCACAGTATTTACGAATTATCCTGACAATTGAAATATTAGAAGGAATTGTAACAGTGAGTTTGACAACTTGTTGTCATTTAAAACAATTTAAATCGCGTAATTTCGGTAGCTCCAGCACTAACATTTGTTACTTCAAGCCATGTCATTATATTTCAAGACATAATTTACTTGTAGCCAGAATGCTATCTGATTGGGATAGGTTAGATAAACATCACATTTTATCATTAGTTATAGACGTAAGTGCATCATGATTTGCTCAACATGAAACATTACTTTTTTATTATCTGTAAAATAATTGTTCTGTTTTTTTTTTTTACTTTTTATCAAGTCACCAGGCAAATTAGCATATTGGGATGGTAGAAAACTTGCTACTTTGCTTGTCTTAGAGCAATCGCTTTTAATTGCCAGGTTTTTAAGACTTTGCAATTTTGATGTTGATTTCTTCTTTCCTTGCCAATATTTGATGGGCAAGTTGAAAAACGTTTGTGGAAAACATTTTGAGAACTTGTTTTCATTTATGTTGGCATGAAATTGTATTGCAGACATTAGTCAGTCGAAAATTGTTTTTGCCTCTCTCACTCCCTCTAATACCTCATGACCAGCAGAATGAGTTAAATGAAAATCTATTTGATCAGGTTTGGCACCAAGGCTCCAATTTTTTAAAAAGCATTTAATTAGCAGGTACTTGAAGGTGGGGTATTGTGCTGACGTTGAAGATGTTTTGCATAGAGAGCTATTTTTATTGAAGGAGCTATTAGCTTCAAAACATTTTTTTTCTTGAGCATGCAGTCAAGTAGTATTGTTATTCTTGGATGGTTAAAAAAAAATGAAAAGGCAAGAATAAACTATTGTTTATGATGATTGAGAATGGAGAAGATTAGGATGAATTAACAATTATTAATATTAATATTATTATTGCCAAAACAATTATTAATTATTAATATTATTATTATTGCCAAAATTTCTTTAGATGGGAAAAAAACCACCTCCTGGTTAGCTCAATGGATAAAGCGCTGAACTGTTGGGCGGGAGGTCGAGGGTTCGAGCCCCAGCCGGACCAACACTCATGGTCTTAAAATAATTGAGAAGAATTGTTACCTTTCTATTACATCAAGAAATGGTTAGATATTCTAGTCTTCTCGGATAGGGATGAATAAGTGGAGGTCCCGTCTCCTGCAGGGTTGGGGTAGGAGACGTTAATATCCCACGCACGAGATTACTGTGTGATGGATGTCCTCCCCTGGGGTAGGATGGGTGGGATATAGGGCGCACTTAATTTGGAGCCTTGCTCTGTTGTGCGACCCTCACCACACTCTGGTGAAAGTGATTAAATAAAGACACAAGAGAGCTCCTTGAATTTGCAAGCCTGTAGACCTTTGGATGAGATGGCAGAGATATTGCCACTTAAATACATCAGGACTACTTTGCTTTGCTGTAACCTATGGTTTCCTTTCTTGGCATCAATCAACAAGACAGTTTTGTTCTCTAAATGGGTGAAAATGTACCCAAGTTTCCTTTTAAGCTACTAATACATTATCCTCCAAAGAGTTGATGGAGTTTTGACCAGCCTTGCACAGTTTCAGTCTCTAACTTAGTGAAAATGTAGCTTTTCCCTAGGCTATAAGACATAATCCTCAAAGAGTTCATGGTCTAGTTTTGATGAGCCTCTTGTATCAGTAGAATATCTAATCTTGAAGTAGCATGGAATTCCTCCAATTTATTTTAAAAAGGAAACATACAGCAGTAAGATATAGGTGAATAAAATAAAAAACAGCATATGATTTACTATCTCAACAGGCAAGATTCCTATACAGTGCTATTCATTTAACATCTAGTTTATTATCACTTTTTAGTCAATTAATTAACAGATTTTTGTCTGATATTTGGGTGATTTGGCAAATCTAAAGCTCCTTTAGGTCTTATTTGTGTAAAATAAATACAAAAGGATTACTGCTACTCTATACTTCCTTATTTTAAAGTCTTCTCTTCCTGTTTATGGTCTTATTAAATCAGGTTGGTCAAAGTACAGATTTTTCCCACATTAACTCATCTCCCCATGCATGTAGCTGTTCACGATCTGTATATTGAGTATCACTACAGAGCCCTCAGTTCAATTGTTCTTAAGATCTTGATTCTTTCGCAAAGCCATTTCAAATCCTGGCAACCATCCCTTTGTTTTGTCAAATGCTTTAACCTTTTACACTCTGACATCAGTATGCATCTTCTCCATTCTGTTTTCTAAACATTTCCTAAGGTGCTGCTATGGAGAGTTGGTTTAAAAATCAAGAGCCTCATTAGTTGGTGATCATTTCATTTATTCTCATGACCTTGATGATTGATTTGAGGGGAAATATTATAAAGAGAAGATGCCTGTCACTCCTCAGGGTCAAATGCATCCGAGAAATCATTTTAGACATAGCTGCACACTGAAATAAGTATTTATGAGTGTCTTAAAAAAAAAAAAAGAAAACATATTTAACAACTAGTTGTATTAAAAGTACCTGAACATTAAAATTAAGGAATGTTAAGCTTGAATGAACATCTCTGTGTATTTACTTCTGAATCATTTGCTTGTACAAGGTAAAAATATGTTCCACTAAAAAATGCATGTTCATGTATGTGTTCAGCAAGGCTGAAGTTTGTCATTCAAAACATGGTTGATTTTTTTTTTTTTTTTGGGGGGGGGGTCTTGTTGAGATTATAGGGATTAGCCTCATTCCTTGTGATATACAAACATGCTGGCTTTCTTGAGCTTAGTAAATAAGGAAGGAAAACTTATCTAGAATAACATGCATATCTGAAAACATTTTTAATATATAATCCCTCTAAGTGAAAACAAGTTGAATATCCCTCTTTTCCAGGATATGAACGCAAATATTAAGGGAATTTGAGACTCGGCTTAATTTTCTTTTTTAACAGACGGAAAGGTCAAGTTTAAGTGGTGCTAGACACTTTGAGTCAAAGTAAGGCTTAGGCTTGAGCACAAAATGATACATTGTTGTCTGTTGTCTGTCAGGAGTTTGTAAGGAGTGACTTAACCGGTTTAAGAATCAGTCAACCACTGACAGGAACCTAGAATTTGCCTAGGATGCACTAAGCAACATTGTTCATGTGTCTGTCAATGCCCGACTTCATTTTGAATAGTGAATTTTGGGTTTACAGAAAGTTACAAGGTCTAATTGGATGTATCACGACCCCAAAACTATCAAAAAATGTGAACAAAAACTAAAACAGACTACTACTTCTTGTTGCCTTCTCACAAGTGATCACTGAGTGAAAGTGTAAAAAATATTCAGGTCTGTACATTTACTTTGACCTTCTAACCCTTAAGAGTGGCTAGGTTGTAATTTATCCTTACAGTATCATGCCTGAATCAAACTGTACTAAGAGTCATGAGAATTATGGAAATTATCAACAACTTCAGAAAATCTTGATTTTTAAGCAAGTTTTCCTTGTCAGCACCTCAGGAAATGTAAAGAGAACAGTACATGGAGAATATGCACACTTAGGTTAGGGTATATATGGTCAATTGATGTAAACAATTCACACAACAAAGAAAAGAACTTAGGAAAGTCCCTTAAAATCAATCAAGGACCAATAAATTGACCCATCCAGGCACCTTTCCCTTGCTCATGCATTGTGTGAAATTTTTTTTAGGTTACCTTGTAGTACACTTTATGTCAGTCCTATAATGTTTTTCTTTTCTTTTTTTTTTTTTTTTGAAGGAAACCAAAGGGGGCAAGGGTCACATCAAGGTTAGTACAATTTAACAATTATCAGCTGATCCATTTTTTTTTTCTTGTGTGTTTTTTGAGTGTTAGATTTTTTAGTGGCTTTCCTAAAAGTTGCTATTTTTCTTTTCAAGGAGGGACATTTGCATTTCCTCTTTGATTCAGTAAAACAGTTTTTCACTTATTTTTTTTTTTAACACCTAAAAGTGTATTTCTTCTAAATATAAGAGCAGAAACCCTAAGAGGAGAAAAAAGAACAGTATGCTGTAATTCTGTCATGTTTCTGTATAGCATGGCTTTGTATTTCTTACAAATGAAGCAAAAAATCATAAGAGAAGAACATTTTACACTTTAGGCCTCTTTTTTTTGTGTGTATTTGGAATTATATTACTGGTGTAATGGTGTAATTTTGTCATGTTTCTTTATAGCTTGGGTTTGTGGATGTGAACTTGGCAGAGTTTGCTGGATCAGCTTCAACTGTAAAGCGATATATTCTTGAAGGATATGAAAACAAGACTTTGCGCCAGGACAACTCTATTCTTGAGGTACATCAGCAATTTAAATTGAATTTTGAAATGCTTTGTAGAATTTGAATTAACTAATTAAGAATTGTATTTGTTTCATAAAATTTAATGCACTTTGTTTTCTTTTCAAAGGTTGAAATCAGTATGCAGCTCACATCTGGAGATCCACTTTTTAAAGTGTATGTGTAGGAACATTCATGATACACTTTCTCCTCTTGTTTATGCATTCTACAATCCCAACCAATGTAGTGATGCTATTCCAGGGATTTGGGAATAAAATGATTTAATGGGGGCTAAACTAGGATCACACTTAAAGGGCAAGCCCAGGACAAGATGAAGAGAGATTTTTGATGGCCCATGCTCCTTGAAAAGATAGGGGTGTAACTAAATAAACTAATGATTGATTCTGCACCTTTCTCTTCACCTACAATCTTCACAGAATGTCTCCTTTTATGCAATGAGAAAGTACGTTGGGTGCCAATGGTTACATATAACATTTTTTTCCCCCAGGCCATATTCGCCATCACACAATCAAGCCATAACTGAAACAGCAGAAAACAGAGCACCACCCTCTGATCATGACTCAGTCAATGACACACCAGAAGGAGCTGAGGCAAGTAAATCAGTCCTCAGCAGCAGCCAAGAAAGCACATCAGAAAATCAGGAAACTGCAGGCAGTGATCCTGACAAAGTGAATTTCATTCCTGGGCATTCACGGAGCTTCAGCGAACCAGCTTGTGGAGGCAGTAGCCATGTCAGGAGCACCAGCACACTGTCACGGATATCCGGGTATTCAACTGGTCATTCTTTTTCATCCAGCTTGGATGGCAGATCTAGTAGGAGGTATTCAATCATGGAATGGTGTTAGCATACTCAGCCATGCACTCACCATTTTTCTTTTTCTTATTTTTTTGTTTTTCATTTCATTTGAAACAATTGGTTTTTTTTTTTTAGCATATTTGCTACTTGTTTGACATGTTTATTTGAGACAAAGGTGTAAACATTTCATTTGTCTTTTCCTGCCACTTTTTTGTTTTTCTTGACTCGATTGATCCTGTTTGTGTATGCTGCACCATTCGGGCTTCCAATATTTCCTCAATAACCAGCCATAATTTTCATACAGTAGGTCAGTGTTACTTATTTGGAGAGGAAAAACCATATTTTTTAACCCATTAAACCCTAAGAGTGACCAGCATCTAATTTCTCTTTACAGTAATACTAATGAATCAATCATTCTGGTCATGAGAATAAAGGAAATGGTCACCAAACAAAGACATTTAGGTTGTTAGACAAATTCTCTTTGTCAGTATTTAAGTATCTTTCAAACTGGCAGTCTAAATCCCACAGGTATCAATGAACGCTTTTCATCCCACTAATTTATTCATGTTTTTCTCGTTGCCATGTTCCCACCAATCGCGTAGCTCCATTTTCTGCCTTTAAAAGCACACATTCAACCCACAATTCCTCTATTCACTCCGACAAAGGGCTAATGCTCAAAACGTCAGCTTTTATAACCGTAACAGTGGCCAATTTACCATTTCAACTTTGTCGATACATTCAAATTATATAGAGAAGAGTATGAGGAATACAGATACTGACATTAGGGTCAAAAGGGTTCATCCTTTCACTCCCAAGATCTCCTTAACAATTCTCCTTACTGTCTGCCATACAATTCTTACCATGTTAATTTGGAGAATTTGGTGCCAGATCAACTAATAATCCCCCGATTGATGTTTTTCTATGATCTCATCACTTGTCTGCTTGATATTTTATTCATATCATGAGGAGAAATTTTGTCTTGGTCCACTTATGGGAGTGAAAGGGCTAATTAGTTGGATCCTCAGGTAGATTAGCATTCCATGTCCTGCAAGTACTGGTGTCCTGTATACATGTAAATGTGACTGCGTGGACATGTATACATACAGGTAGCTTGCTCAATGGCAGGGAGCCATGGTGATATTAAATTTGTTTTATTGCCATGCTTCCTGCCTCCTTACAAGGAGTACTATTTGGCAAGTTTATGTATGATGTTGCAATTATTGATATGCAATTTTTATTTTTCCTTTTTAACAGGAAACAAAGTTCAGGGTCTGGGAAAGGCAGGAACTCAGGCTGTATCCTTTATTAATTGTGACAAAATATTAGATTGTAGTGTAACAGTGTTGTTGGGCATGAGTTTTTATTTCATTGATACTGAGATTTACACTGTGAAGTACAATGATAATCGTTCATGCCTCTGATTGGTTGAACAATGTATTTTCACACTTGTTCGCTTCCAATCTTTGAAATGTGTCAGTCAGTTAGAAAGAATTTCATGGAAAGTGGTTGAATGATTTTTATTCACTTACTGTGATGCATCAAAAAACTCACTTGTTCGCTTTGCTCACCCTTTTGCTTTTTGATGCTTTGCAACTTGCGATTAGACAATTGTTTGTGCACACTTTCCATAGAATAATCTCAATTTTTGTCACAGACAATTAAATTCTATGGAGGTGCAAACTGTTAGGGGTGGATGTGTGGGAGCAAATGTAAAGTAGCGAAAAAGAAGCTATTTTATAGAAAGGCAAGCAATTGATGATATAAAGGTCTTATATATGCTGTAAATGAATTACCCATGAATTCAGATCATGCTTTAAGATTTGCCATGTTGTTTGCTTATCAGCCTTAACATCTTTTAAGCTGATGATACAGCATTTTGTGGCTCTGAGCAAACACTCTCACCAGCTCCTGAGAGACAAGGCAAGAGAATAAGTTGGAAGGTGAGATTATTTGTGTGTCAAATGGTCATGGTCATTGTTAAATGGTTCTTTCACTTTTTGCTGTGACATTTAGTATCTTGCAAACCACAAAACATGTACATTGAAAACAGGCTTCAAACTCTTCAAGTCTAACCAAACTATCCACCTTGCACTGTAGAACAGAGATTTTTTCACAAGATCTCTATGCCCCTTTAGTTTGTTGGAGATAATTTCATGTATCCTTCACCCCACCTCTTGGATCTTATAGTTTCATTTTATATTTCACTCTGTGGAAATAAGCAATTGTTAAAAAGAAAAAAAAAAAAGAACACTCGGAGAGAATCGAGTTGTTTCTCTCGTTTTGCTAGTTCAGTGCACATGTATGCGCACTGAACTAGCAAGACTTTTTCATTTACAGCAATCATCATGAATGTGATTCGAAACAATTTTTACTAATTTTGTTGCAAACAGAAACCGGATGACCAAAGATCAAGCCACAGCAGAGTTAATGCAGATGATGTCATTGAACAAATTTTTAATGGGTAAGCTGCACACAATAATGATGCAAGATGTATTTACTGTAAAAGCCTGCAGATAAGCCACACCTGCAGATAAGCAGCACCCCAAATGTAGCAGCTGAAATTTTGGAAAAAAGTTTTTTGATAGAAATCAAAAGAAACTCAAAGTTGAGTCTTGAGAAGTCTTTCTTATCCACTGTTCATCAAGTGTAAACTCATCGTTAATACTGCAATGTAAAATACTTCAAAGTGTACCCACAATTTTAGTACTTTAATATAATGAACATCATTTCTACCAACTTTGACATATGATTGGCCTTTTTCTGGTATTTGTTGACAGGAATTTCTTCATTCAACACAGTTTTTCCTTAGATTTTTGAATAACAACGAGAATGTGAGCAGAAAATTCAAAGCTTAGTAACCAGGCATTTGATCAGACGCAAAAATGGTCATTCACAACACCTTTTTCAAATGTTCCTGCAGATAAGCTGCACCTCCAATTTCTAGAGACGATTTTTGGGGAAAAAAGTGCGGCTTATCTGCAGGCTTTTATGGTAGTACATATAATAGAAAATCTTCTGCTTCAAGCAAACTGTGTGTTCAATGTTCAATGAAGAATTAGTCAAGATCAGAAAAACTATTAATTAAGTCTCTGTATGTACATGTACAGTTTGTTGCTTTTTAATTGATGAAAATTCATGATGGACTGCCATTGCTATGTACAGTATTGATTGAAGCAGTTGATTCAGAGTCAGATTCAGGTTTGATATATAACATTTTCTGTGATTCTTTCATTTTGTTCCAGGCACAATTTTTCAGGTGATGAAAATCCATCAGGTAATACACTGTTAATAATTATTGATTGAAATGAGGTTATTCCCCTTGAGGAATTAATGCACTCTTTTTTCCCTTGGCTTGTATTCCTTTCATTCATGTCAATTTGTTTGGGAGTGTTAAAGATGTAATTTTTTCTGCCCACAAACCAGGTGATGAACTGCAAGGTAACCAGTTGTCAATGTTTCTCACAAAAGACGGCACATTGAATATTCCTGGAGGATACAGCAGGTAAGTGACTGCTTTACTCTCCAACCTATCATTTCATATTACTTATAACGACATGTCTCTTTTAAAGGCTATTCATCAAAAAAATATATATCTTTTAAACAAATAGAACAAAAATGAGAAAGAATGAAGCATAGTAAAATACGGCACAGGGTTGTTAGACATCTCTTCTTGTCACTTATAACAAATGGGCTCTTGGAAACACTGCAATTTCATTCCTTGTTGTCCTGGAAATTGTCATAACTTTTGTTTATGGTTTATTACTTTCCAATGTTATTTGCATTTATCTTGAGTACATGTACACATACATGAAACACAGAATTGATTTACTCACATAACAAATGTACACTTAAATGTCACACAAACTTTATTAAATTGGTTTAATTCAGTTCGTGGATTTGATTTCGTAATATTCTTTATTGACCTTACAGACCTATTCCAGAAGACAAGTACCGGACATTGTAAAATTTGATACCTCCACAAGAATATTCCACAACCTGGGAAGCCTATACATCAATCTTCTGTCGTTACTACACATAATTCCATTTGTAGAGAGCTTTCATGAGAACATATTCTTAGAAGTACTTTATGCATGTACATGATAGGTTAACTCTAAGTAAGAATTTTTTACAAATGCATGTGTGTAGTATACTTCATGGCATAACACGTAAGATAAACCATTCTAATTAATTGCTTGTTACAGTTTTTTTCACACTGCCCCAATAACATGGTTTAGTAAGTCGTCAGTGCCTGTGCATGTGGTGTATGTTTTGTGTTGGGTGTTTATTATTGCAAAGTAATTTCTTTTTCTTACATGTAGCAAAACATCTGCTGAAGGTCTCATCAAATCAGTGACATGTCTTCCAATATGCAACTTTTTCTTTCATTTTGTTTTCACAGTAGATTTTTTGCTTGTCTTGTTTTGGGAGCATTTTCCACTTTCTGTGCTATCATGAAACAGTGTTTTGATACCTTACATAGTTTGTTGACAACTTTCAAATTTTGATTTCTCAAATGAAGTAGATTTGTTCTTTACACATAATTTGCATTGAATGAATGGGGTGTGGTCTGCTGATTTTCTAATAATAATCACTTACTGATTCGATAATTATGCAATGGTTTTATTTTTATTTCAGTCAGTCACGTTAGTTTAATCAAGTTTGTAGCTTTTGTTCCAAACAAAGGCTGACAAAAGCACTTACCAAAGAATATAGGTTTCCTTTTACAAGTAAATCAGACAAAAACATAAAGAACAGTGAACATTCAAGCAGGTTTCTTGATAACAGTTTGCCATAGTGCCCTGGGGGCACTTGGTTACTGATCTTGTTTTTTATGTTAACCTTAGTTTTGAAGTTAAGCATAGGTTGGAGGGAAAAGTTTTGGAGTGAAATGTAGTGCATGTGAAGGTCAGCCCAGATTATTTGTAAGCCCCCTTGCTTAAAATTTAAGGAAATGTCTTCCTACAAAATTCTCGTGCCACGGGAGATGTCAAACAGTGGAGTGTAATAGTGTATTCTGCCACTGAGTAGCTTGGCTAATTAGTTAATGTTACCTTCCAGCACACAGGATTCTTCCCATAATTTACTGTATTTTTTAGGGGGTTGTTTTAGTTTGGAATTTTTTTACTGGAATCTCATAATATTAATATTAGGTAGAACTTTTTCAGATGCTTATTTGACTTTGAATTGTTCAAGTTCGTGTGTAATTTATTTCTCAATTATGGTGTTGAATGCTTCTTGCAAATTAACCCACTCAAATAAATTAATATGACAGCCATAAGCTTAAAGAGGGAGCGCTCAATACTGATGAAAATAAAACAACAATTTTAACATATTAAGAAAATAGGAGAAAATTATTGTAGTCTTTGAATGAGGACTTGATTGTGGGATGAGTGACGATTTATTTATTATTAGATTTTCTATTCATGAGAATATATTGGTGTAGGTTGTAAGTCCTGTCATAGAATTGATCTTGTCCATCACAAGTGGTTTGAAATTCTAATTTTCAAATGAGGTATGACACATGAAATAGCCGTAATTTTTATATTGTTATGTTCCACCTAGAGGTTGCTCTTTGTTACTGCTTTTGGAAGAAGAGTTAGATATGGAAATGTGTCTCTTGATAGTTATTGGGCTCAGAGGTCGGTTTAATGTAAAAAATATCAACTATTTGGTTTTTTTGATCGTTTATTTTTGTACTGAGTATATCATTATTGTTACAACTTGATTCTCCAACGGTCCAGAGAGGAAGACAGACAAAGCCGTGGGCAGAACTTTCTGCCAGGTTGCCCAGTGCTAGAGTCTTGGAGTCACCAGGGGACAGACCAGGCTGCTTTATTTTGTTGTTGTTGTTTTGTTTGTTTGTTTTTTTTTTCATACAGAAGTGGGTAAAGTCGGAGGAAAGGTTGCGAGACCCCTCTTAGCTACTCCTTAGGTTACGGTGCGACCGTCTAAGAATCAATTTTAATTATTTCACATCTGATTGTAATATCATGTTAACTTTATGTAGATACATCGTGTGATAAACGTTCGAGTGTGAGAGGATTAACTGGTCATCGGGAATGTGTGAGTATGGCGCATATAATTAAGACACTTTGACATCGCTATTAGTTATGCTTGGTCTGGGTGTAACCAGAGGGTTGGTAACATGTTTGAATGTGAAAACGAGTTCTTTTTGGTGAAGTTTTTAGCAGGTTCTAAAGGCTGCGCTGAGAACCTTCTTTTGGCTGAGTGTCACATTTTTTTTTTTCGGTCATAGGAGCGTTCAAGTATTTAGTGCTTAATTGTAGTTTGAATTATAATTAAGACAATATTAATGAGTTCGTTTGAATTAAAAAAAGGTGTGCTTTAAGTGATGTCATTCTGATATTTTTCTAACACATAGCCAGTTAAAATGGGCGGGAAGATGGGAAAAAGAAAGAAGACGGTACCGACCAGTTTCCCTATTTAATGCTTCCCACAGAAACCACTTTGCAATGATTCCTTAAATGGCCTGAAGTTGACCCTTAACACAAATACGTGGCACTCGCTTGTCTGTCTTGGGAAACATCTTTTAGCTATTAATCAGCTCCCTTCTTGCAGCAGACATGCTTACCAATAGATAGGGTACCAACATCCTTAAAGAGAGACCGTAGTACACTCCCTCTCTTCCCAGATATGACACACCGGAGGAGACAAGGCATTCGAGAGCGTGTAATCATTGTTATTACGAAGGAAAATGCAAGGGTCCTATAAGATTACTGGGGTGATAGGTACCATACAGGCGAGGGCTTCCGTGCAAAATTACTTCTTCTATCCTTATTTTGCATCAGTTTTAATAAAAAAGGTTAAGACCTTGTCTTTTGACCAAGTGGCCAACACTCGAAACGTCCGCTTAAGAATCTCATTGAGGCAGCCAATTTACATGATCAACTCACCTAGTAGAATCAAAATATCTTGTATTGCCCCCTATGGACGCAGCCAGAAATTTCTTTAGAGAATTACCACCTTATTTCATTTGAAAAATGATCTCATGTTTTCAGACGAGGTAAAAATTGTGTTACAGTGACTGGGCGAGCTAGAGGATACTCTTGTGGTACGAAGTACTCAAAAAGATGATAGATGCCAGTCCCAAGTTTTGGACACAGTGCCCGATCTCCAATTTTGGCCACTAGTGACCGATTTGCGATTTTGGTCACTGGCGGCCGATTTGCAATTTTAGCTACTATTGGGCGTTTTGCAATTATGGCCTATAGTGGCTGATCTGCAATTTTGGCCTCTAGGGTGCGTTTTGCAAATATGGCCACTAGTGTCGTTTTATGCAATTTTTGCCACTAGAGGCGGTTTTGCAAATATGGCCACAAGTGACCATTTTATGATTTTGGCCACTAGTGGCCGATTTGCAATTATGGCCACTGGCTACCGATTTGTGATTTTTGCTGCAAGTGGCCGATTTGCAATTATGGCCAATAGTGGCCGATGTGCGATTATGGCCACTAATGCCCGTCTTGTGATTTTCGCTTGTAGTGGCTGTCTTACAATTTTGGCCAGTAGTGGCCAATTTGTGATTTTGGCCACGAGTGGCCGTTTTACGATTTTGGCAACTAGTGGCCTACTTGAGATTTTGACCACTAGTGGCCGTTTTGCGATTTTGGTCACTAGCAGCCGACTTGCGATTTTGACCATTAGTGACCATTTTGCGATTTTGGTCACTGGTAGTCGTCTTACGATTTTTGCCACTAGTGGCCGATATGCCATTTTGACCACTAGTGGCGCATTTGCGATTTTGACCACTAGCCAGCTGTTTTGCAAACGTGGCCACTAGCGGCCGATTTGTGATTTTAGCCACTAGTGGCTGTTTTGCGATTATAGTCACTAGCGGCCGTTGTGTGATTTTGGCCACTAGTGGCCAATTTGCAATTTTGGCCACTAGTGGCTGATTTGCAATTTTGGCCACTAGTGGCCGTTTTGCAAACATGACCACTAGTAGCCATTTTATGATTTTGGCCAATCGTGGCCGATTTGCGATTTTGGCCATCAATGGCCGTTTTACAGTTTTTGCCACCAGCACTAATGGTGGATTGCAATTTGGCCACTAGTGGCCGTTTTGTGATTTTGCTCACTCGCGGCTGATTTCCAATTTTGTACACTAGTGGCTGATTTGTGATTTTGGACACTAGTGGCCGATATCCGATTTTGGACACGTGTGACCGATTTTGGACATTAATGGAGGATTTCTGATTCTGGATACTAGCGGCTGATATTGGATTTTGGACAATATTGGCCGATTTCTGACTTAGGACACTAGTTGCTGACTTTCGATTTTTGTAATTCAATACAAATTATACAGCTATAGCTATTGTTATTGTTGTGAAGACAATTATTTCTTACCATCTAATTGTTGGTCGAGTGTAAAGTAGTCACCACATTTTTTAATCTTCTTTCTTTTGTGGAACTGGGTACTCATATATGTGGCGGATACTCTTATTTATTTATTTAATATTACAAAATCATTCCACAAGAATACACAAACAATTAGTATTAATTACAATTAAGGTTAATAAAAACCATAAAAAGAAAAATTGTGGAGGAGACAACCAAAAGCATTGACGCACCATACAAGGGATGCCCCCTCTAATTAAAAAAAATTTAACATAGCAAAACTATATAGAAATATAAAAATAGATGCCTTAATTATCCCTACCCTTAATAAAACTTAAAACATTCTTTTTAAAAGTTTCAATTCTATCTGATTCTCTAATGTGATTAGGAAAGCTATACCATTGACCAACAATACGGTTAAAAAAACTATATTTGAGACCATTAGTTCTGCTAAAATTTGGCACGTCCTGTGTGTCATTTTTCCTCAAACTATAAGCCATGCTTCTGTCCTTACAAAATATGAGCTTATTGGAAATGTCTATGTCATAATGGCCATTAATTACATTGAACAAAAACGTAATATATCTTATTAACCAAGCACGAGGGCCGTACTGGGAGAATATTGGCCCGAGGTCTTGACAGTACGGACCGAGCGCAGCGAGGTCCGTACAAAAAAGACTGAGGGCCGATATTCTTCCAGTACGGTCCCGAGCAAGCTTGGTTAATAAGAGATTTATTATACGACTGAAGTTCAAAGCGACACAAGTGCGGTATCATTCGGGACCATTCGGGACAGTGCCCGGTCCAATACTTAGAGAATATTGGACCGGCAATAGAGCATTTTGATTGGTTGATTTTAGTTATTGGCCCTCTGGCTGCCCGAGTCGTGTAATAACATCCCTTATGAACCTCCTATCAGATAATAGCAACAATTTCAATTTAGATAGTCTAGTACCATAATCATCATCAGACCTAGTGATCCATCTGGTACCTGTTGGCCGAACAGCCTCCAATTTGTCAATGTTACGTTTAGTATAAGGGTTCCCAGTTTCACATGAATATTCCAATAAGGGTCTTAGAACACTACAATAAAGTGTACTCTTGGTTTCAACATCATTTAAGTCCCTACAAGTCCTTTTTACCAACCCTAAAACCCTATTGGCCTTAGCAGTTATTCTATCTATATGCTGGTTCCATGAGAGACCACTAGCAGTAAACAATCCTAAATCTTTATAAAAATTAACACATTCCAAAGGTTGACCCTCAATGTTATACTCCCCAACTAAGGGTGCCTTTTTCCTGGTTATTCCCATGATCTTACATTTCTTAGTATTAAGGAGGCCATCTAGTCAGATTTTTGCAATGTAGTGAGTAACTTTAAAGAAACAAAACTCTTTAACAATGTTATAGAAAACTATGAAATTTTGCTCAGGGCATCCCTTCAGAAAGATCTATTCAGGAAATTGAAATCGAGATGAAATGATTAACCCGTCGCTAATTATTAACTTCTGAACTTCATATCATAAACTGGGGATTGCTGTCTGCCCCAATACTTTTTTTCCATAGAATTCATAGAAAATGGTTGAAACTTCTCAGGCACAACTATCATGGATTAAACTGTGATCCTATGGAGCAGATTTGGGATAGGGTCTTTGGTGCTACCATGCCAACCAAACACTTCCATATAAGGATGTTGATCTAATATCTCCTCGATTATTCAACTAAATCCAATTTTGCTCCATAGGATCACAGCTTACTTCAAAAGGATAGCTTGTGCCAGATTTCACCAAAATTGGCCATAAAATGAAGTAAAAAAATGGTGGGGGCAGATGGCAACTACCACGAAAGGGAAGTTTTGAGAAAACTGCTGTTAAAGTTGACACAAAGAAAAACCCCTCTTTTATCCAATGCAATATCAATTGAAGGTGATTATAGCATCATTCAGCACCAAAATATCACTCTCCAAAAATTTTGAAATGAAAAGAAAAGAAAACTAACTATTTTGAGTCAGTTTTACACTCCTGGAAGCTAAAAATTAAAGGTTCCAGCCTCATATGTTGTGCCCTCTTTGTTAAGTCTCATGATTGGCAGAGAACCCTCTCCTAGACCAAGTTCAATCAAAACTAACTGGTATTTCTCCTATGGCAGTGTCAGAATTTACCACTCCATCTTCCTCAAGAGCAATCTTTCTGGCTTCTTCTCTGTTACTCTCTAGCATTTTGCATACAACATCTTTAGTGCTTGAAGCAACACATCCTCATGACTGTACCAAATCAATTTAGACATTGTTGAGGACTTTGCAAAGTTTTGCAATGCCTTCCTTTCCCACTCCCATTTCATGGGAAGCATATACTATTCGCCTGTTAATATCCTTTCCCTGACTTGATCTCGGAACTCTATCGGCAACATTGTGACATCCGGCGGCAAGAAATTCTTTCATGGGACAGCTATCGCAAATAGCATACAAGCTACTACTCAGACCAATCTGTCGCATCCATTCTCCACTAACCGGATAGAGGCTAAAGGAAATTTGTAACGGCAGGCGAACATCAAGGCCGAATGTATTGCCGAGAAAATCGCGACCGGAGAAAAATACCAGAACGGGTGGAACTTTACAGAGACCGAAGCAACATTCACATCACATTCATTAATTGATCTCGTAAACTGGAATAAACAATGAAGGACTAGCGTAAGGCAGTTGCACAAACAAACGTTACAAGGCACTAGCGATCGACAAATGAAAACCCTCAGAGGCAACAAAATACAACTAAACAGGCTAAATGCAAACAACCAGAAACGAGCGGAACTATAGAACTAATATAAAGAAATCGACTCAGATATCCACGCGGCCACGAGGTCGCGGTACGTAAAATCACAATGATCACACATA